CTGTCTCAATTTCTTAACCCCTTATGCACTCTCCAGCTTTAAACTACTTTTTGCTAAAGTCACACAACTGCCCATCACTGACTTGTTTTCAGTCCTACCATTTGTCTCCTCTCCATCATTGGACATGAACCATCTACTGATTACACATACAATCCCTTCTCCTTGCCTTCTCCAGCAACCCTTTTCTTTTTCTTGTCCTGCTTATTACTATTCCCTATCATTTTGCTAACTCTCCCCGACTCTGACTGCTGCTTAGATGTAGGGATTCCCCAGAGTTTCACTGTTGGACCTCTTTGTTTTTATACTCTGACTGGATGGTCTCACCTATTAATGTCATCCCTGTTCATCCGTAGCTGGAAACCTTTAACTCTTCCTCTGCCTTTCCTTTGCCATCAACTACTTCCAATTGAGTTGCTTTACATCTTTCAAACAGTTTGAGTCTGGCCTCCTTTCATTCTAATCACTTAGATTTTAATTAATTTGTGTATCAGCCTCATCACTAATGTCAGTACCTACAATCTAGCTGTCTTCCTGTCCATTCTCTCCCTTACCCATGTTATCTTCCCAAAACTGTTTACCTCCCTGACTTAAAACCTGGATTTATTCCTTTTTTTTTTTTTTCCAGGTCTGGGCCCAAACCTGTTGAAGTGTTGGGCTCAAAAGAAGTGTTGTCAGTCTTCTTTTCCCACCTGTCTCTTTCCACCCCACCATGCACACTACTCTTCTTTACAGGCATTACTACAATGCTTTATGGACACACTAGGCTTACTCCCAACTTTGATTTTTACTCATTGCTGACTCTTCTGCCTAGAATACTTTATTCCACGTCCTTTCCCAGCAAATTCCAGTCACCCTCCAATACCAGCTTAAATTTCAGCTTCATCAGGCAGAGCTGATTGCTCTTCCCAATGTTTCACCTGCATCACTTTGAGTGCCTCTTTACATTTCTCCAGGAAAATCCCTTATTTAGTGTTATATTGCCAGCATTCAGCATCATGCCCTCTACATAGATGCATAGGTGGTGCTTGATGAGAGAAAAAAAAAATGAATCTACTAGCCAACATGGAAATATAACCAGAAACAGAATTCCAAAATACATCATGTTACATTCTTTTGTAAACCTTATGTTTGCTTTTTTTTTTTTTTTTTTTTTTGAGATGGAGTTTCACTCTTGTTGTCGAAGCTGGAGTGCAATGGCGCAATCTCAGCTCACTATGACCTCCACCTCCTGGGTTTAAGTGATTCTCCTGCTTCAGCTGGGATTACAGGGGCCCACCACCATACCCAACTAATTTTTTATAATTTTAGTAGAGATGGAGTTTCATCATGTTGGCCAGGCTGGTCTCGAACTCCTGACCTCAGGTGATCCACCCGCCTTGGCCTCCCAAAATGCTGGGATTACAGGCATGAGCCACCACACCTGCCTTATGTTTGCCTTTTTAAAAAATGTTTATCTTCATTTGCATAAAAATCCACATATCCCAACTGTCATTATCTTACACCAGGCTAAATAGTTACATTAAGATAATAGCATTTACCAGTCATTACAAATTTTACAATGAATAATATTACAATATAGCAAAATTTTAAAAGATACAAAATTATGTTTTAGTATAGTTTCAGCTACTAAGAAAGAAAGGACAGAAAGAAACTACACAAAGACAAAAGCTAGATGAAAACAAACCAAGATGCTAGTTTCTAGCAGGTTCCCTGGTGCATAGTTCTAATAACAGCAAGGAGCTGGAGGAAGAGGAGAGGGAAAGTAATGGCTAAGGCAGATAGTGTTTACTATATATAGGCAGTATATTCTAAAAACTTTACATATATTAATTTCTTTAATCCTCATAATAGCCCTCTCCTGCAGAGCTATTGTTATGCCCATCCTAGAGATGAAGAAATGGAGGCACCAAGAAGGCTAAGTAACTTGACCAGTTCCTAGCTACTAAATGGCCCACTTGAGATTTAAACCAAGGCAAGCCTGCTTCCAGAGTGTGTACTCAGGGTAGATGCTTACTAAATAATAACACAGTAGCAGTGACTGTGTTTAGAAGGGGAACTGTGAGCTATGTGTTTCCTTTGCTGTTAATTTCTACTTTTCTGTGGGAGGCCGAGGCGGGTGAATCACTTGAGGTCAGGAGTTTGAGACCTGCCTGGCCAACATGGCAAAAACCCATCTCTCCTAAAAATGCAAAAATTAGGTGTGGTGGCAGGTGCCTGTAATCCCAGCTACTCAGGGGGCTGAGGCAGGAGAATCGCTTGAACCCAGGAGGTGGGGGTGCAGTCAGCCAAGATTGCGCCACTGCATTCCAGCCTGGACAACAGAGTGAGACTGTCTTAAAAAAAAAAAAAAAAAAAAAACCTACTTTTCTGCATTTTTCAAGTCTTTCCCAGTCAGCAAGTATTATGTTTATTTTAAAAATGTATATAATAGCCAAGCTATGTGTATATAGCTCACGCCTACAATCCCAGCACTTTGGGAGGCTAAGGTGGGAGGATGACTTGAGCCCAGGAGTTTGAGACCAGACCAGCCCGGGCAACATGGCAAAAGCCTATCTCTACCAAAAAAAAATTAATAATAATAATAGCCAGGCATGGTGGCATGCACCCGTAGTCCCAGCCACCAAGGAGGCTGAGGTGGGAGGATCACCTAAGCCCAGGAGGTTGAGGCTGCAGTGAGCTGTGATTGCACCACTGCACTCTAGCCTAGGCAACAGAGTGAGACTCTGTGTCTAAAAAAAACAAAAAAAAGTATAATAACAAACAGTTATAAGGAACGAAAACTTTACCAGAAATTTGTTTGCTATACATGTAGAAAAAGAGAAGGTCCATTGCCTACTGGGAGGGGAGAATATTATGTAGAAAGTGGTTTAGCACATACACTAAAGGAGAAACTAAATTCTCCTCGGACTTCTTAGACTTTCTACCCTCCAAACGGGAAGATACTGTATGTCACTCATTTTGTGATGATGTGTCTAGCTTTTACATATTCCTATTCAACTCAAAAGAAGGATGTTAGCTCACTTCTTACATATGTGCATATTGCTACAGATCTGCCAGAAAGAGCCAAGAGTCCTCAGTGTGTAACACTCCGTTTTCTTGCCCTATAAATAGTCTGCTCTTTCCAAAAAGAGGATCAAAGTACTAATCAGAAGTACCTACAGACTGAGTTCTTCGGAAATTGAATCCTGGTGCTTTCATGTGTGTGTATGCAACTCACCACTGAGAGAGGCCTTGGACCTTTGGATCCTGTTTCTTTCGAAGAAGCTGTTGAGTTAGTTCAAGACCACTAGGTGGTGCTGGTGCACCTCATAAACTAGTCCGTATTTCATTCCTTGGTGATGTGCCCTTTGCTTAGACCTCATAGTCCCAAGTACAAGAAGCTAGTGATTATCCCTAAAGCTATGCCAGGCAGATTGAGCCATTTGTGAAGTTGAGTGGATGAGGAGGGCTTTTGGGGTATGTCAACAAATAAGAAATCAGGATCCTCCTGTTCTTGTTTAAATTCTAGGTTGAGAATTTTTCTAAATCAAAGTAAGCGATCAGTAAGAAAACCTGTTCAAAAGAAAAAAGCACCGTTTTTCCAAAGCTCTGAGGCCTAAAAGTAAACACGTAGAACCCAAAGCATGCAGCTTTCAATCAGAAGTCATGTAAAAATCTAATCTTACCTGCAGGAAGCGTCTCTACTTGCAAGCAGGACTGCACCTAAACTGTTTCAAACAACACTTTCAGTTCATCTCTTGGTCTCACTCTTCAGCTGTCTTTCTCATACACACAAACACAACTTTTCAGGATGTAACCATAGGGAGAGACAACAACTTTGTTAACCTACTCAAATATATCACAACCTTCTCTTTTTAGTCAACAAATGGACAACCAGGAAGATTTTCCTCTCATCAAATACAACTCTAGAACAGTTAAGCCTGTTTCCTTATTAATGACCTAATCCTCGTTATCTATGTAACATGGCTTTGTTATTTATAAAAGAAGTATACAGTTCTAGATAGTTTTTTAAACACAAAACAAATGAGTTGTCAAATCTCTCGTAATAATGAAATATGAGTGATTTGACAATAGTATAATGATAGCTTTTCCCAATAAAGCAAAATGACTGAAATGAGGATATACTGTAAATAACCTGAAAATAAAATATCTTCTTTTTCTTATTTGGAGGCATTGCACAACATCTTTCTTCCCAAATCAGATTCTGAAATAACCAAAAACTCTCTAACTTGTAATTAAAAATTATACCATAGAACAGCAAATTATTTGCTTATTAACAACTAACCACCCTGGCATGGTGGCTCATGCCTATAATCCCGGCACTTTGGGAGGCTGAGACAGGTGGATTACTTGAACCCAAGAGTTCAAGACCAGCCTGGGAAACATAGGGAGACCCCAATCTCTACAAAAAAATACAAAATTAGCTGGGCATGGTAGTACACACCTGTGGTCCCAGCTACTTGGAAGGCTGAGGCAGGAGGATGGCTTGAGCCCAAGAGTTCAAGGCTGCAGTGAGCCATGATCCTGCCACTGTGCTCCAGCGTGGCCAAGAGTGAGACCCAGTCTCAGAAAAAAGAAAAAACAAGAAAATAACCATAAAAATAGCTTTTTAAAAAGTAAAAGTTAATTTTCTTTTTCTTTTTTTTTTAAGAGATGGAGTCTCACTCTGTCACTTAGGCTGGAGTGCAATGGTACAATTCCTGCTCATGGCAGCCTCAATCTCCTGGGCTCAAGCAATCCTCCTGCCTCAGCCTCCCAAGTAGCTGGGACTACACGCACTACACCAGCTTCTGAAAACTGAATCTGTAGGTAGTTCTGATTAGTACTTTGGTGATATTCTTTCTGGAAAGATCAGACTATTGATAGGACTACACCATGCCTGGCTAATTTCGTTATTGTTGCTTTTGTTGTTGTTATTGTTGAGATAGGGCCTCACTATGTTGCCTAGGCTAGTCGAGAACTCCTGGGCTCAAGCAATCCTCCTCCCTCGGCCTCCCAAAGTGCTTGAATTATAGGCATGAGCCATCATGCCCAGCCAAAAAAAAATTTAACAAAAAATAGTTATTTTAACTAACCATATAATTTTAATCTATCAGCTGTTTAGAAATTACAGCAAATAGAATTGATTGTAGAAGGAAAACTCATTAATTCATTTGTAGGAGCAAATTAAAAGTATTTTCATTTAAAATCACATTGTTTTGTCATTCAAGCTGCCAAACGATATATTGTCTGTGATTTTTATCTTTTAGGCCAATATGAGGTCTGTATGATGTCTGAAATCTGTCACAGTGTTCACTAATGACCCACCCCATTTGTCAGCTTAGAGAGAATTTTTATTTCTGTCAGTGTGCTGGAACAAAGGATGGCCTTCATGAAAGGTAGCAGAAGCACTGAGGTCAGAGATAGGATTTCACTCAGCTACTCATCAGAGGCCTTGCCTCTTTAGTGTGAACATGATACTTCTGACCTCATCACAGGTTGCTTTTGTCTCCAAGGAAGTAACCAGGGACAACTTGAGAAAGTCAGGCAAAGTAAGTGGCCATTGACAGATGGTGTTCAGCTGATGGAAAGAATGAAGTGGAGAAGCTGACAAAGAAAGATGCCGAAGATCAGTATAGCTTTTGATTTAGTATAGCAGAAGATGTATCAAATCAAAGTCATTTACATACACTTACCTAAAAATCCCACTTCTAGGAATTTAGTTAAAGGAATTATAAAGGTGATTTTTAAAACTTTCAGCACAAAGCTCTTTGTTGCTGCATTCAATCTAGAGTAGAGAAAAATTAGAATAACCCAAATGATCAACAATTTAAAAAATTGAGTAAATTTAACATCCACTCAAAAAAATGTTGTGCGCCCATTACAATTTATCATTATGAGAACTGCAGAAACAAGGAAAATGTTATATTTTTAAGTGAAAGTCATATAAAATGTATGTATCCATGTGAACATATTATACAAAAATGTATATTTTGCAGATAAAACTCTGGGACTGCCTGCTCTTAACGAAATGAAAGTAAAGTTCTTTATTGCATTTGTCACAATATTGCTTCTGTTTTAAAAGAGAAAGACGAGTTTTCAAAACTGGGACAACTCTTAGCCGAACTGAGTGATTTTTCATTAACTCTAGGGTAAAATGAATATCATACTTACAAGTCACTTCTCCACAATATCCAATAAGATACTCAGGCAGAACCTCAGAAAATTCTATGAGAAGTGACTGATCTTTAACTTAAATAGATTTGAAAGAGAATATGATATTTACAGAATTTATTTGGTTCTCCACATTGATTTGATTGTGGCAATAACTTTGGCCTTGTTTGCCATTATTTTGTACATGTTAATAAACAGTGTGCATATACGCCATGTATTTCCCAGGAGATTTGAGCCTCCTACTTTCCAAATGTGTAAGATCTATAAAACGGAGGTAATGGCAGTGATGTCATTGTTTCTGTGGGGATTACATGCAATAATGTACATAAAGCACTTGCTTGGTGATTGCTTTGAAGCACAGCTTCATCACTTACAGGTCAGTTCACTTTCCTGTGCCTGTTTCTTCATCTGTCAGATAATAGAACCTACCTCCTGGGGTTTTTGTAAAGAATCTGCATATGTGGAGCACTTAGGACAGTGCCTGCTACATGTTCAGAACTCACTAGACGTTAGTATTATTATCATATTTTCTCCTGAACATCATACCTGCAATTTGAATAAACTGCAAGAATTTGAATAAGCTACAAGAGGTTTAACTGTCTTTACACAACAGCCATCACGAAACTCTGCCATGACTCAGACACAGTCAAGCTTCCCGCTGGCAGAACTAAAGGTAATCAGCATGATTTCTCCTCACCGCCCCCCACTCCATTATTACTTTAAAAGAAAACTAAGGAAGGAGGGAAAAGAAGAAAATGTTTTAAACATTTGCAAAGTTCATATAAAATTATACTTTAAAGTGGTGGTTATCAATAAGAGAGTTTTTGGAAACTCTCAGGGCATATTTTTTGTTTGCCAGAGGGATGAAAAGGGGGTACTACTAGCAATGGTTATGGGGAGGAGATGCTGTATGTCTTGCAATGTCCGGGTCAATAGTGAACAAAAAGAATTGCCCTCCATCCTTCATGACTTTCAAATGCCCCAGGAGATGTTCTTATAAATGAAAAATCTGTTTATAAGTATCAAAGCCTATAATCTAACTATATTTTAAATATAAGCACAGTATTTTTGCCTTATTCTAATTTATTGGCTTTTCATGTTATAAAATAATTAGGGTCTATCGTACTGACCCCTATTAACTCCTGTAGGGATGGCACTGTGTCCAAGAGGCCAAAGAAGAGACCTGGTGCCAGCAAACGAGATATAGAGTTTATTGAGGACTTACATACAGGGGTGGTCCAGTGGCAGTGGGCTGGACAGGAAGACTGCTATCATTTGTAACAAGCATGTAGTTTGGCCAGGCATGGTGACTCTGGCCAGCAATCCCAACACTATGGGAGGCCAGGTTGGGAGGATCGTTTGAGGCCAGGAGTTTGAGACCAGCATGGGCAACAAAGTAAGACCCCATCTCAACAACAACAAAAAAAACCATGCAATTTATATAGCATCTTCACTTAGCAACCTCCACCTAGTAACTTCCACCTAGTAGCCTCCACCTAGCAACCTCTACCTAGCAACCTCCATTTAACCCAAAACAAAGGGCCTCAGTTCCTTGCATGTCCTGCATTACAGGGAATGGCCCAGAGGTTCAAAGGTCCTTCATAGATGAGGAGTGAATCTCCAGGTTGACCACTCCCAATTTCTTAGGTGGAGACTCTGACCAACCCGTTCTTCTTAGGCCATAGAGTCATTCTCAGGCTATGCTTCAGTTATTATTATCAGGTATGTCTGCCATATAGGCTTCTAGTAAAATATTTAGATATTCAGAAACACTGTAGAAAATATTATTTAGGAAAAATGAATATTTCATAATCCCACCTTTTATGGACTGAATTGTGTCCCCTCAAAATCCATGTTGAAGCCCCAGTCCTCAGTACCTCAGTAGGTGACTGTATTTGGAGATAGGAGTGTGCCCTAACCCAGTCTGACCAGTATCCTTACAAGAAGACGAAATTTGGACACACAAATACCAGGGATGCTCATATACGGAGGAAAACACCACGTGAGAACACAGGGAAAGTGGCCATCTGCAAGCCAAGGAGAGAGGCCTCAGATAAAAACAAACCAGCTGACACCTTGATCTTGGACTTCTCGCCTCCAGAACTGGGGGAAAATAAATGTCTGTTCAACCCACCCGGTCTGTGGTACCTTGTTATTGCAGCCCTGGCAAGCTCATACACTACTCCTCCAGATTCTTCCAGATTTTTTCTATGTGCAGACTAGCAAATGGCACAATTTCCTTTTATAAAAATGTATTTCTTCACAGATATTTATTAAATACCTACTATCTTCAGGAGGAATAGATACATTGGTGGACAAAAAGTTCCTACTGAAATGAAATCATACCAAATGTACAAAAGCTGCCTGCTCTTTTCACTTAAAATATATATCTTGCTGGCAGCAGTGGCTCACACCTGTAATCCCAGCACTTTGGGAGGCCAAGGCAGGTGGATCGCTTGAGCTCAGAAGTTCGAGACCAGCCTGGGCAAGATAGCAAAACCTCGTCTCTACCAAAAATACAAAAATTAGGCGTGGTGGTGTGCACCTGGGGTCCCAGCCACTTGGGAAGCCAAGGTGGAAGGATCGCTGTAACCTTGGAGGTCAAGGCTGGTCAAGGCTGCAGTGAGCCATGATCGCACCACCATACTCCAGCCTGGGTGACAGAGCAAGACCCTATCTCAAAGAAATATATATATATCCTAGGTATCAGTCTATGTCGGTAATGGTAATGATAACTACCATTTCTTTTCTTTTCCTTTTTTTTTTTTTTTGTTGGACAGGGTCTCGCTGTGTACCATGGTGGAGTGCAGTGGTGATCTGCGCTATCATGCATAGCTCTGCCTCCGTGTTCGCAAGCTAATTCTTCGTGCCTTCAGATTCCGCGAGTAGCCTATGAACTACAGGGCACCCGCCCCGCTGTCAGTTTTTGTATTTTTAGTAGAGATGGGGTTTTCACCGTGTTAGCCAGGATGGGTCTCGATCTCCTGACCTCATGGATCTGCCAGCCTCGATACCCAAAGTGCTGTGACTACAGGCGTGAGCCACCACGCCTGACCAGTAAATGATTAACTATATTTCTTTTTCCTTTTTTTTTTTTTTTGAGACAGGTCTGGCTCTGTTGCCCAAGGCTGGAGTGCTGTGGCGCGGATTCTCGGCTCCACTGCAAGCTCCGCTCCCAGTTCACGCATCGCTGCCCTCTAGCTCCGAGTGGCGGAACTACAGGTGCCCGGCTCATCCAGCACCCAGCTAATTTTTTTTTGTATTTTTAGTAGAGAGGGGTTTCACTGTGTTAAGCCAGAAATGGTCTCGATCTCCTGACCTCGTGATCCGCCCGCCTCGGCCTCCCAAAGTGCTGGGATTACAGGTGTGAGCCACCGCGCCCACTGATAACTATCATTTCTTGAGGGCTTTGTATGTTCCAGGGACTGGGATAAACACTTTGCTTACGTTGCCTTGGAGTAGTCATCTTATGGATGAGATGATATCCGTGCAAGCCCTGTGGGAACGCTAAAGCTCAAGCGAAATACAAAGGGGTTTCTCTCCACAGCTGTAGGTCATGGGTTCACCACCAGCCTAAAACCTGGAAAGAGTGGGTTTTTTTTTTTCTTTCTTTTTTTCTTTTTTTCAGATGGAATCTCACTCTGTGGCCCAGACTGGAGTGCAGTAGTATGATCTTGGCTCACTGCAATCTCCGCCTCCCGGGTTGAAGTGATTCTCCCACCTCAGCCTCCCAAGCAGCTGTTACTACAGGCACAGCACCACCACACCCAGCTAATTTTTGTATTTTTAGCAGAGACGGGGTTTCATCATGTTGCCCAGGCTGGTCTCGAACTCCTGACCTCAAGTTATCCACCTCCCTCAGCCTCCCAAAGTGCTGGGATTACAGGCTGTTGGTCCAGCCTGGGCAACAGAGCAAGACTCTAGCTCAAAAAAAAGAAATCAAGCGTCCTGACTTTCAGTTAATCTTTTTTTTTTTTTTTTTTTTTTTTTACACCTCCTTCCTTTACCACTCTTGTACTATTACACATATATATGTATATATAATTTTAGGTATAGTTTAATATACACTGAATTTTCCAGGGATATGACTAATGTCTAAACAGAAGGAATTTTGCACCCTGTTGTACCACGTTGTATTTGGAATTTACCAACTGACAGCAGCACTGCTCTGCGTCCTGGGTCACCCACGCAACACACCTGCCACATCCCCTGCTTTGGGTTCCTTTATGATGCCTTAATGGGGTTGTGTACAAACACTTACGTATCAAAATACATATTATTTTGCTGTTGAGTATCTCCCTTTTATTTATCTTCTATATTACAAGCAAGGCCTTATAACTTTTTAAAAATCATGTGTGTAGGTAAGTTATATTGTCTGTAAATTTCACCTCAAGGCAGTACAGGGAGCATTACAATATATTCGTTATGAAAAGGGGTGCTGTGTCTAAAAACCCTGCTTTAAAGATAACTTAGAATAAAATTTAGAAAACAAAAACTTTTGTATGTATCCTTACTACTCTTTAGTTTTTTAAAATCACGATTTAATCTCATTTTGTTTTCTTGACCAATTGGCTCCAATTCATTCTTAGTCTCTGCTGGTTTCTGGGACTTGTT